ATCCCCCTGAAAAGTACCCCCTTGAAAAGTACCACCCCCCCCCCCCTTCAAAAAAATGTTTATTATTTTATGACACCCATAAATTTCAAAAATAATTTTTTTTGCATCATAATTTTAATATATAATATAAATAAAATGCAAAATAAATATACTTTATAAATATTATTTTTAAATTAATAATTTAGATAAATTATGGGAAGAGAGAGCGAATTTATAATTTCATCAATATTTAATTGTTTAAATAAATTTTTTTTCCATTGATAATATGGTTAAATCATTGAGAAATGAGTCTTTCATGGTACTACGAAGTCTTGTTTTAATTAATTTAATTTTACTCATGACTCTTTATGCAGTAAATGAGGTTGTAGGAAGTGCAGCAAGCACACCTATTTTAAAGCTAAAAAAATTTCTATATTTAATGATGAAAGTATATATACCTCTCCTTTTTGGATTGTAATGTTTGAAGTCTAGAACTTTCAAAATCAAAAAGTAGATTTCTCTCCTTCATAAAATCTTGTGCCTTTGAAAAAACATCGAAAAATTTATTGTTTTTATCTTATTAGATTAAAAAATAATTAAGACAATAATTTCTCAAATTAATCAAGCAATCTTTTGCCAATTGAATTTGATTTATTGCAAACTATATCCTTCAAAATGGTTTGCAATTTTGTACAAGCCAAACTTGTTATCAACAATATTTTATCCAAAACACAAAGTGATAAGATAAAATCAAATTTTTATATTCTAAAGACTATTGCACTAGCCATAGTGGAAGTGGCAGGATCTTCAGAATCCTTTAAATTTGTTAAAGCTGCCCTCAAGGCATCATAAAGTAGAAAAAAAATTTACAATAGCTTTATATGACGATAGCCAGCTTCTAAATGAAAAAACATTTTAAATCTAAATAAATAAGGTACTATTACGGAATGGTATTATTGATGCGTAGAAATCGTTTTTTTCAGATCATTACACTGACATTTTTTGAGTACCTCATATCTTTTTACATCAATAAAATAGATATAAATCACATCTAGTATTCCTAGAACATTTCGAAGTTCTTTAATTGATTGGCATAATTGAACAATGATTAAATTTAATCGATGACAATAACACCAAATAAAAGCTACCTTTGGCGCTTCTACTCTAATCAAGGCCTGCACACCATTGATTCTTTTACTCATGTTTGAGAAGCCATCATAACTTTGCCCAACTAGAAATTCAAGGGGTAAATTCATCGAGCTGAGTTTGGATATTATATCATGCTTAATATCGAGACCTGTGGTATTTCCCGTACAATATGTGTCAATCAGTCCTTCAACAGGCTTCGGCGTCTCACTATTTTCAACATATCTTACTATCAAAGCTATTGCTTCTGATTTCGAAACATCATATGTGCCATCAACTATGATTGAAAAGCACCTGTTAAATGTAATCTCATTTTGAATTTTTTTATAACCATATTTTTCATGGTTTCAATGAGAATATTTATGTTATTATATGATAATGGATTTGAATATAATTTTGTTTTTAATCCCTTATTTTTTTTTATCCCTCTTTCTTTCTTCATTTTGTTGTATATACATTTTTAGTACAGGTTCAGAATCTGCAATAAGCTTATTAAGGGTCATCATATTGTCTTCTTGTTGCCTGTTCTCCCAGAAGGCTTGGTTACGAGATATTAAATAATCTAAATATCATATTATAATTCTTATGATAGAACGGTTATTATCTACACATTCTTTCTGGGGTGTTATAAATTTTAATATCGAATTTTTATTGTGAGAAAGCCCTCTATAATCGGCCATCATATGTACCCGTGAAGATTCATGCAGAATAATATCACGATTAATATTCTGCCATATATCTAGACCTTCACATGTCCATTTTGAATTTGTGTGTGGACCTCCAAATAAGAGACATGTTAAGCAAAAAACTTTATTCATTAATACTATAAGTAATCCAATTTCTAGCAATTTTGCTATTATCAATATTTTTCATAAATGCTTTCATTAAAGAATCTGTTTCTATTATTATTATCTTTGGGAAATAAATAATGTGTAGGTTGAAGAGCTCCTAATTCTAGATATTTATCAATTATAAATTTGTCAATTCTTTTTCCAACAATATTGATGGGATCATTTTATTCCTAAGAAAAGGAAGGGAGGGAAGATAAGATATTTAAATTAAAATATTAATACTACTATCTATTCATATTATGCTTAAAAAATAAGTAGAAAAATTTCCGTCAATATATATTAAATTAAATATTAAGTTGGGGGGATGGGGTCTTATTATTTTATTTATAAACCAGAAATAATCACTTGATCATGATAGATGTAACAAAACAGTAAAAGAATTAAATAATAAATAAAATTTTAAAAAAAAACTTTAAAAAAAATTTAAAAACAAAAAAAGTACCCCCAATCAAATTTACTGAAGCAGTTGCTTCGGACCCCCACCCCTCATTGTAGGGGCCATTGTAGTAATGTAAAATATTTAAGAAAATTTATATTAAAAATATTTATTTTTCACAAAGAATGTAGTAATTCTTTTAAATATAAACATATTTCTCTTCATTTAGTATAAAAACTAACCATTATCTATGTTGTATGGCTCCAGTTAGCCACTAATGCAGTCCAGAACTTAATATCTTTAATAAACTTTACTAATCAATGCTTTTGATAATAAATATAAATAACAATTTTGATTCAATTCTTTAACGCCATCTATTTATTTTAACAAAAAATATTGTTAAAAATTAAACATCTTATTATTCATCCCACAATGATGTAATTCTTATTATATTTTGGAAAGCTTGAAAAAGAGTTTATAGTTAAATATTTAATACATCAATATGATATTATTACAAATTATTATTATTTTAAGACATAATATACTAACTAGTGGTGCTACAATAATAAATAAAATTTTAATTGCTTTCATCATATCACTCTGGTACTTATTTTCTAGATACGAAATGATTCCTTTAATATGGTATCCTTACCGGGTAAATAACTCAATGCTTCAATATATTTGCATAATTATTTATACTAAAGATTTTTAGTGTTTTTATTTTATCAATTAATCTAGCATAATAAATTCTAATATGATTTCGTGAGTGTCGTAGCTATGACTGTAAAATATCCAGTATCTATTATTTGTGTGGCCATGTAATTTAAGATTTGCTGCTGAGAGCATTTGATTGCATAATTTAGATGAACAATAATGGTCAACTGTCTAGTCGTTTATATATAATTAAATAAGGAAGATAATCTTTTAAAAAATTAATATCTCACAATAATTTCCTCGATTACTTATCTAGCATCCATAATGTTATCTAAGTGGAAGCTCTGACCACAATATAGTTTTATGATTTGTTAGTCGTTTATATTCTTTTCTTCGAGAATTATTGATTTGGTTAAAACTACAAATTTTCCTTATTATTCTACTCTAAAAAACATTGTCTAAAATGAATTATATTCCCTTGTGTGGTTTTTAAAAACCATTATAAAAAGCATTAACAATTGAGGCAGTGTATGAATTATTTAACCTTTTTTATCACTTGTAATTTTTTAGATGTTTTTTATATCCAAAACCGAAACTAATATTGTAATAAATTGATAAATATTTGGTACTAAAAAATATTATATTTAAAATGTCTTGTATTGTTATTTGCATGTATAATAAATAGAAAAATATGAAATTCAGAATAATAATTCATAAAAGTAAACAATCTAGGTAAGAAAAACAATTGGAAAAGGTATTTAAATTACAAATCTGCATGGCATCTTTATAATTATAAAAAATTTTCCCAATTTGCCTTTCCTTTTATTTAAATTTTATCATGTTTATCTCATTTTTATTTATCATTTAACATAAAATGGCTAAAAAAATTTGTAAAAATTAACAACCAATGGTTTTCGATAATAAAAATATCATTCGAGGAAAAAATATTTTATAAGAAATGAAAATTTAACCAATTATATGAAAGTTAAACAAATTAAAAGCCAATGGTAATTATGACTCACATAATCTTACCAAATATTTTCTGTTTTAATATTTATGAATAATTACATTTTACATATATAGATATAAGAATAACCCAAAACTATTTTCTTGAATATGTTAAATAAGTATTATCTTGAATATGATAAATATGTGAATATTGCTATACATTTTATAAAATAATAATGACATTTGATTTAATTTACCCAAAATAATTTTTACATTAGTTATTTATTTTAAAGTTGTTAGAATTTTTGATGAAAATTGTCAAAAGTATCTTAGTATTTTTAAGAACAGCAGTTAATTGATTTTGCCAAAACTCTAATACTACTTTATAAATGATATGAATATTTGGTATTTTTTATATTAAAATCAGTGGCGTAGCTACGGGGCTGGTTTTCGGGTTTGGACCCCTCCCAGAGCTAAATCTTTTTTCTAGTATATACGTTCAAAAGACTTAAAAGTGACTTTATAATAAATAAATGCCATTAATATTTATATTTTTCTGGTTTTGATGTTTGTTAAAGGATTATATTACTATTGAAATTATTCTGGATAGTATTATTATAAAGTCATTGAGAATGGTCTACTAAATTATAATAACATATTATTGATACATTTAAAAAATGTATTTATTATATATTATAGAAGATATGGTTATGATTTGTAAGATTAAATCGGCCGAAGGCCGGGGAAAAGGGCCGAAGGCTCGTTAATGGGGGTCTGGGGGGCGAAGCCACCCAGGCTTTTATATGTATGGACCCCCTCTAAGAAAAATTCCTAGCTACGCCACTGATTAAAATATAATATTAGACATACTTAAGAATAGTATAAAACCTATTAAAAATAAGTTATATTAAACTTATACGATAATAACCTTTTATAATAATCAGATAATTAAACTTATTCAATGATTAGACATAATAATTTTAACATTTGAGATAAATTTATTTTCTTAGTGGTAGAATAGATATTTAAATCACCTGTAGTTTTTTATTTTCAAAAAAATTCTTAAATTTTAAGAATAAATATGAATATTGTACTAAACTATTGTGATAAATATATATTATCACCCTTTATATATTCTAATAACTGGCCAGAGAATAATATTTGGCGACAGCTATTATCTTTAACTGTGATTGTTAATAGTGGTGCTGCACTTATATATATTCTTGCAGCAACCCTTAGTTATTATTTTGTATTTGACCAAACATTGAAAAAGCATCCGTTATTTTTAAAGGTTATTTTCTTTAATTTAGAGTAAGTTTTTAAATGAATATTTAGGATCAAATTTTTCTAGAAATTAATTATGCCCTAAGATCAATTCCACTGATGAGTATACCTACCTTGGTGATTTTTATGCTTGAAATTAGAGGGTATAGCAAATTATATGATAATCTTACTTTATCCAAATATGGTAATTTTTTAAAAAATAATTCGAATTTTTTCAAAAATGTTATCATGACACTAATTCTAAAGATTATATTGAGCTTAAAATTTAATTATATATTTTCACCATTCCTAAAATTATTTTTTAAGAAAATGGATCAATATTTATTGCTCATATTTATATTTCCTTTTCAAATGGTTTGCAAAATATAGCCATTAAAATATAAATTTTAAAGAGTCAACTGGGACATAAAATAATCAAAATGAAAACCCAGTTTAAAGGTAAAAAAAAATCATTCTTGTCTAATGCATTTAGCCATTAGGCAGATGGACAAATCACTGTATCCTCCAGAGTTAAAAATTTTTGATAAAAAATATTTAAAAAAAAAGGCCTTATCATGTATACATTGATTTAATGAAGTTAGAGCATCCATTATAAATGAAACTGGAGAAATAGCAGAATAGCCTGAAAAACTTCTCTACAGAAAAAAAAACACCTTACTAAACTTGTTAAAATAACTCAATTTTCTTTACTGGTAATGCAATCTATTGCAAAAGATGATACAGGCCCTATTCTAGCTTCACCCATTGGGTGGTGGGTGTAAACAAAAGGAAGGACTGCTAAGAATTTTTTTTAACACCATAGAACAAATATTTAGGTTATGGAAGATGAGAATAGACTTGTAGTTGAAAAGAAATAAGTTGATTTAATGATTATATTATATAATAAAAATGATATTGTTTAATCATGCTTATATAATATGTTAGGGTTTCATTTATAAAATATATGTAATTATTTATAACTATATTTAAATTAATATTATGTATGATCAATGGTTGAGATGTATTTTATTTTAAAAAGTTACTAGTTTCATTTATGTATTTTTCATGTCCTAATAAAAACATCATTATGTCGAAAGTGTATCTGATGATAATTCTCTTCAATGATGAAAATGTTGCTCACAATTTGATGTGAATGATCCAAATAATAACCTGATCAGATTGAAAAATATTTGGAAATGCATTTTTGTATGGGTATAAAAATTTGATATATTACAATCTTTATAATTTTCTAACTTTTTACAAATAATTTGTATAACAACACTTCAATTTTATTTACTAAACCCTCTTCAGTAATATTACAAATTTCCAATAAAGGTTTTAATTTATTTATGTCTAGAAAATATGGAGTATCAAAAAGAATGCAGGCATCTAGACTTTCTATATAAATATTATCTTCCATAAACTTCTTATATCATTAAACTATATCAATGTTATTATATAATATTTGTAAAATCATTAAATCAATTTATTCCTTTTCAACTTTAAGTCAATTCTTATCTTCCATTTAATTTTATAAACATATTTAATCATAATTATACTTTTTTGTATATTTCAATTTTGTGTTCAAATAACTCAAATATTTGTTCTATGATGTTAAAAAAAAATTCTTAACTGCCCCTGTCCTCCCCCCAAAAAGTTAATCTAGAATTGCACCTGATATAGCATTCTTATTTTTAAAAATTTATCCACAAAATATATAAAGTATTTCCCAAAAATCAAAAGAATTTAATAAAGGGGGGTCAGTTTGTAATTATTTTTAATAGATCTAGAATCGGGCTGGAGATGATATCAATTTAGTTGAAATGAAAATCCGATTAGAGCCTAAAGAAATAGATAAAATGTCTGAGAAATTTCATAAATTATGTGATTGTTGAGTTCAAAGTTAAAGCAGGTCCTTATGAATATTTGATATTTGCATACTGCACCATAAAACTCATTATTCTAATATTATAAGAACATTAGAAGAATATAAGATAATTCTATTTTATCCCATCCTCCTTTTTTAGTGTTGTTAAAAGTCTCAATTTAGCCAATTTAAATAAAATGGCTATTATCAATTTTAATCAAAACTTAATCTTCAAGATATAGCCAAAAGAAATCTAACATCTGCCAACTTTCCCCAGAATCTCTATCTTCTAAATATTATCCATATTTTACAAATGCCAAAAAATCGAGGTTTTTAACAATGCTACTCTTTGAATAATTTTTAAGTCCAATAAATAAAAGTTTCTTGATTCATGCAACTTTCCTTGCAAATCGAAGAGTATTTTCCTGATAAAATTATATATTTTAGCCACTATATCCATCATTCATATAAATAAAAGAACATTTTTTTTAAAATCAAAACTTAATATAAGAAATGATATCTCAGGAATTAGATTGAATTTATATATATTTGAAATTGGGCCACCTTTTTTTCTAATAATTAATTCTCATATATTTTTATCATTTTAAATGCTCAAAGAAAACTTATATTTTTTTATAGAATTTTTTTTTTTGCAATACATATTTATTCATAAATAGTCTATTTTTGCCAATTCCATGAATGGCTAAACCGAAAACTATCCTTAGCATCGAGGTTATATGCCGATTATATTCGCTTAATATTATATATCAGCATTTTTGTTGTTGCATTAAAATGATCCCTAGGATTTATATTTGAAAAATTTACAGATATTTAGGTATTAGTGATTGTTATTCTTTTTAATCAATAGTCCTAATAAATTTTAGATATTCAATAATAACTTCAGGATGTATTAGTTTATTTTTATTTAAATTATTCCCCCCACCCCACCCTTACACTTTTCCTTTTCAAGTAAATTCTTGGATACGCGCATGGTCCTAAAAAATATATATTTTTTAAAAATGGCTAGATTTAAAAAAATAAAACCTCTACTCTAGATTATAAAATACAATAAAAATGTGTTCTGGACTTTTCGCTGAGGTATTTGGCGACACAAAACGAAATTAATTTGATGGTACTTTTAAAAAAACCTCAATTTACAAAGAAAATTAAATTGAGGAAAAAGGAAATTAAAATTGGTTCAACATCAATTCGGCGCTGAAAATTTGGTGCGGCGACTATTCGGCGGTCTATTCAGCGCGGTGACACTTCCCTATTGCAATTTAAAATTTATTAGTATAAAATAAAAGTTTCATTATAGAGGTCATGTTGAGGGTTGGTCTATTAATATATTTTTCATTTTTTTACAAAAATCTCAATTTTATTTACTAATGTTGATCCAAAAAAAATATATTAATCTTAGAGAAAAATCTTATTAATTTTTTATAATTCCTTATTTAACCATGAAGATTATTTCTTATCTTATTAACTAAAATCTCTTTAAATTGAATATATAAAGTATAATGGTGCTTTATTTGTATTAAAAATTTTAATTTGAAAAAAAAATCACGAATTTAAATGGCTTCGAGGGAAAATTAAAATTTCAAATTTAGGTTAATAATTTCAAATTAATTATATTTAAAACCATTATGAACTGGTTTCGGTTCAAAATATTTAAGGTTCGGTTACGGTGACTGTTCAGAAATTTATAACGGCTTGTTTCGGTTTGGCGGTTCGGTTTGAAACTCTGATTTAAATTGATTAAAAGAATTAGTTTAAGGATTTTAAATAAATCTATAAAATGAGACAGTCTTAAAGAGAAAAATATTTTGTCGATAATTATATTTTAAACTAGTACAATCGTTGGATGCGATTGAAAAATGCCACCTCTAGAATAAGACTTCCCTCCTGTTAATCCCTTATTTAAAAAATAATTTGAATTTTTTTGGATCAACATTAATGTTGTTAAGTTTGGATCTATTTTTAAAAATGGCCGATTAAGAATTTGGCCCAAATAACATGTGAGATTCGAGATAGAAGTTTCTGCCATTTATGCGCAAAATTTCCAGGCTTACATAAAATGATTTTGGCTAGGATTTTAATCGGATCGTTTAACAACACTAATCAACATACCTTAAAGCATGGTAAATTGGTTCACAAAGAATTCAGGGCATAAATATTGGTTTATTATTTTTTTTGAATAAATTTTTTTATTGATATTACGCAATATTAGTAAATAAAATTGAGAAAAAAAAATAAGAAATAATTAATAGGACCAACCTTCAAAATAATTTTTATTTAATCACCCTTTTGTTTTATACTAATAAATTTAAAATTGCAACTGTATTAGATACGCGCCGAATTGTCGTGATACAAAATAACAACAAAAGTGAAATTTATACAGCAAAAAAAGGAAATCGAAAATAATATTCAGGAACCAAAATTTTTCTACCCTTAAAATATTACAAGACACCCCGGGACTTCTGCCCCATTCATTCTTCCATATTTTTATATTATACGCAATTGTGTAATAATGAGCAATTTCCATCTTTAATTATTTATATTTTAAAAATAAACAAATATTGTGCTATTTTTATATATTGGTAACTAACCTCTATCCAACTCGTTTAGAAATTCAATTAAGTGAATGATTTTAATTTAAAAAAAACTTAAATCAGGTTACTGCAGTCTAGTGATGGAAGCCATATGCTTCATAGCCTTTACTGATGCTCTGATATACTGGATCCACCGGATGCTTCACTACCCCCCAGTTTATATCAAATTCCACAAGCAACATCACAAGTGGAAAGTGCCTACCCCCTTTGCCAGCCATGCATTTCACCCTCTTGATGGCTTCGCCCAAAGCCTCCCTTACCATATCTATCCCTTCCTTTTTCCTCTCTCTTCTCATCTCTACCTCCTTCTCTTCGTAAGCGTTAACGTGTGGACCGTGAGTATCCACGACGGGGTTTATTCGGTTCCCACACGGCTAAAGTGGGCCATCAATGGCGCCGCCCATCACACCGATCACCATCTGTTTTATCGTTATAATTATGGGCAGTTTACAACTATTTGGGACCGTATAGGTAAGGTTTATCTTTATTGTGTAAGTTTAAAGCTTAGTGCACTTTTTAAAAACGTCTTAAATTGATATATAATTTTAAATTGTTTATACTTGAAAATTTTGGGATATGAATAAAAATTCCCTTTTAAATAGAACTATAGTTTAGCCCCCATTGAAAAAATTTGCATAAAAAATAAAAGTAAATCCATTCCAGTAAATTATTCCGGATTCGAATTCTTAACCTTTTATACTAATACAATACTCTTGTAAAAAAATACCAATCAATCCATGGACTTGTAATTGTATTACTTATTATTTTTACCAGGTAGGACTTACAAAGATCCCTCTAGTTGGAACGGCACCGGACCGGCCGATTTAGTCAGAGTAATATTGAATCAAGTGAATGGGATCAATTGTTCCACCAATGATGCATCACGGAAAAGAGAAGGGTACGAGAAAGTGACGAATGAAGGGAAGAAGAAGGTACTTTGAATGTGAATAAGAATATATTCGCAGTTCAGGAATATTTATTATTTCCCTGATGTAATAACAAGCCATTCGATATCAAATATTTATGAAATGATTTTGGTTCGACTCTTGAGAATTTTGTAACCTAAATATATATTTTATAAGTTTTATAGTTCTATTGTACTAATCATAATGATGGTAGAAATCAAAGTCTTTTGATGCTTTATTTCTAATACTATCTCCATTTTTTTTCCTCAAAAATTCCTTATATAATCCGGTTTTTAACATTTAATTTTAGAGAATTGAATAGATTAATTTATTTTTAAAAAAATTGGAAGTTGCAATTTTAAATCTTGTTTTTGCTACGATTATTTATAATCCAATCTCCTATGCTAAACCCAAATTCAAAATATATTTGCGGAGAACATCAAAATTTTTAAGTTTTGTATGAGAGTTTTCTCTCCTATAATCGTGAATTTTTAAAAAATATATTTATATTATACGCTTTAAAATTTCGTTTTCTTTTTGCTCAATTTCTGTTCGGAAAATCAAAAAAATGTTAAATAGTAGCCAACCTTATTATGACTTTAAAAGATAATAAGAATGTGTACTACAACATTTATGCTATTTATTATTCTTATTGTATATTATATATTTTGTAAAAAAAAATTGTATTTTAAAATTTTTTTTCCTAAAGACACCATAGGACACGATTATATTGTTGTTTAGATTATATAAACCTTTTAGGAATCTTTAAATATTGAATGCTATCATTTATTTATCCTTTATTTACTAGCTAAAATTAATGGCAGAAAAAGGGTTGAGATGTAATATAAATATATATTCAAATAAAATGATATCTAATTTTCACATTTCTATTTAGCATATTTTGGATGGGATGGGAAGCTATCTATCGATGAGCCTGACTATTTATAATTCATTACAAATTAATTTTTTTAATATAAACTACTTATCAGAGGCTTTGAACAATTTTTTAAAAACGAATTTGTGTTCGGCTAAAAAAAAAGGCCAATGTACCCTGTTATTCAAGTTTCAGAACTCAGTAAAATTAAGTCTTAGAAAATTAATTAACACGTATAAGATATATCTTTTTTTTATTATATTCTTCATAAATATACATTATGACATTTTGTATTGAAAATTTATTTATGCAATTATCATACACTATTATATTCCTACATTTGAGCCGTTTAAACAAGATAACACCTTTATTGCTCTTTTTGTACTATTTTATATATTTCCAGAATCCCGAACAAAAAAATCTAGAAACTAGACTACTTCTCTCCAAATTTATAGGAATTTTCTTAAAATTTCTAGGAAACGGTTCTAACAAAATTACTACAACGAATATATAAGAGAATTGTTTTGTGTGATTAATTTTAGAGACAATTTGGAATTTCCGGAACGGAATTAAATCCAATAAGTGGAACCAGGGCTCTATAACACACACACTGGGGGGGGGGGGTTGATGCAATAGCGTAATTAAACATTTAGAGTAGTACTCTTTAGGCAACATACATATCCAATATCCATTTTTATAATTGAATCATTAATGTGTTTTAGATCATCAGGAGGTCATTGTGTAAAAGGGTATTTATTTTACATATTATTTTCATAAAATTTTATAGTACATTTTTAGATTTATAACTAATAATGAAAAATTGTCGAATCTAATTATATATATATTAAGGTTTTGCGGCTTCCTTGCTAATGAAAAATAATCCTTGCATAATTTACATGAGTTCTCTTCATGACGGGTCGTAGAGCAACTGTCTGAATGAATGATATTATATATCTATAGTTAAAAACCAATAATATGCCATCACATCAAATAATTCAAAGAAAGAATAAACTATACCATTTTATTGAATCCAATAATTCCACACTAAATCAATTATGATTGAAATTTCTAAGTCAATCGAATCTTGCGAATATCGATGCACATATGGTTGGAGATAAAAAGGTAATTTTATTCCTTATATTAACTCCTACCCACTCAGCCATTAAAAAATCTTGAAGTTTTACTCTAATGATTTTGAAGGATCTGATAAATTCTCATGATTTTGAATTTTGGTATGAGAATTCTAACAGAATCAAGTATTCTCCTTTAAAAAATATTTAGAAGCGCTTTCTCGCTTTTAGATTACTTATATAATATAAAAATTTATTATTTATATTAGCTACCTTATCTATTTAAGTACATGCACTGATGAAAGGTCTCTTTACCACGTAATAAGATTAAAAACAGGCCAAAAATGATTAAATTGTTTGGCCTTTTAAAATTTATATAAGGGAGATTTCTATGAATAATTAATACCAAATAAATTAGCTAAATCTCAAAGTAAAACTAGATCTTTTTCCTTGCTAGATTTCAAGTCAATATTTAACTTAATTTATTATCTTCAAAATTCGAATAAAATTGCAATATTATATTCCATTATATAAGAATTATTACAAATATTAAATTAACAAATTTAAAATCAAACATACTTAAGTATAATGTTATAAAATATCATAATTTTTTTAAAATGAAGTTAAACTTCAATTAAAATTTTATGATAATGGGGATATATATTTGCATGCATCATAGAATTAAAGTTTCAAATCGTTTGTTCAACTTTACGGTGTGCCTATTATTAAAATGCAAAATAAAAATTATAAATCGTTAGGTTTAGGATTTTCCCCATGGAAATATTTTTGCTGCACTACTGTCAGGAGAGCATCGGTATCATTGGTTAGAGATCTATGGGACTCTGAAACCAAAATATCCTTTAAAAAAAATTAAGAGCCTATTATAGAACTCCATTTCTAGTAATATTCAGTATTGGAACTTGTTTCTATCTATTAATCCTATTTTTTTAGTTGGCACAAGAATATGCTAGACGGCTATTAATTTAAAATAAAAAGTATCGTCTATTATGTTGGATATTCATGATTTAAACCAGAGACCTACAGAGGTAACATTTGCCCGGCCCAACCTTAATTTTTTAAAAATATTTTACATTTATTTTTAATTCTTATATCTAATGACGATTTAAAATATACGGCCCTGCCCGGGTATTTAAAAAATTAAAATCCGGTACCCAGGTTAAATAAAAAGCCCCTACCCTAAGGAGTTTTTAATCAGGGATGGGTTTGGCAAGAATAATTCTTTAATTAAGGATATTTAAGTATAAGAGATTTATTTCCCATATATTCTTAAAATTTAATATATCCACTGAATTCAGATTTATCCCTTGAAATTAAAAAATTTAATATATATATTTTTTTAACCTTTCTACGTTTCTTTTCACGAAATTCATACAAATTTGTTTTAACTATTAATTTACAAACTTAACTTCTTATAATGTCATAGAAGCTAGTTCTAGGCTTAAATTTAATATTTGAATATTCTTTATCAATTTCGCGTTGGAAACCCCGAATCATATAGCAATCCGAAGAAATATTTACAATTTAAATTCCAATACATTTTATATTATATAAAAAATTGCTTAGATTTATATACTTTATTATGATTAATGTTTATCTGTGAATTTTTAATATAGTAGAAATGTAAAAACAAATGGCTCCTAATTGTTTTATAATATATTAAGATCTTTTTCGGATAAAAAAAATTTTCATTTCTTAAGGCCTTGAAAAAAACTAAAATTTAAAAAGCAAATAAACCTTTAATAATTAATTATAAGCTAGAAAACTTCATTTTAAAAAGATTAATTATAATTAAAATAGAATCATTGCAATTATTATGTCATAACCCTTGTTATCCCTTTGTTGAATTGAACTTATATCGATCACTTTAAAATGCTTTAATATTCTTTGCAAAAACTTGAATCCAATTTTTTTTAATGGATAATAATAGGTGTCTTTATAAAAAAAATTTATTTAGATTGTTTTATTATGGATGCGACGACATATCTTAGATTTTTTATATTAGTTTATTAAATAATTTTTAATTTGGAAATAAAAGTTATTCATATTATTTTTAATTTTAAAAATGTTTTATTACTTTTCTGTTCTTCTCTTTATGAAATAAAAATTTTATTTTTTCCTTCCGGTTGTCTCTAGATCTGCCATACATCCTGCTTTGTTCCCGCTAAATATATTTCTGCCTCGCAGAAAAACATGATTAAATATCCCGAAAAAGAGTTAAAATTTTAAATTCTCGCAAAATTGACAAGAATAATCGATTATCAATTCCTATAAATTTTAAATTCATTTTTATATAAAATTAGCATAATTTTTCCTATTTTCCAAAAGTAAAATGATTTAAAAACTTCAAAAATTATTTCAAATAACTTAATAAAAAATATTTCCTTCTATCCTTCCTTTGCCATTTGATATAGTATAAATAGCTACCTATGATACAAAATTCAACAGATTAGCGAATAATAGAGCTCAAATAATTACAGATATATATATATATATATGATAAGTAATGAATAAATTTTTAGAACGTATCCATGAAGTGGTTTTGATATATTCCTGATGTTATATATAATGTATATATTTTTTTTAAATATCAGCTCTAGAATACTTATTTTCTATTAAGACATACATTAATTTTAAAATCATTTTTTTTAAGAAGATGGTAGTTGATCTTGGCATGATCTTATGTGAATAGGATAAAATGATAAAAAATTTGAATCAAATGACAATGATAATAGATTTTATAAGTTCTCTAGTAAAATCTTCGCTAAATGTTTTGATCTGTTATTGACAAAGTCGAAGCAAATATAAATTTTAGCCCCGATATTATCTCCAAAATAATTATGTAATATATTAGGAAAGGTATAACTTTTAATGAAACGAAATAAAAATACCTCCAAATTATTTCATCCAAAAATGGAAGAATTTTAAATTATAATATAATCAAGCCCCAGCCCTATAAAAATAACCTAATTTTATAATCATAATTCGCCCTACAAATATCACTTCAGAGCGCTAAACTTAATATGAAAAAAATAAATAGTTCTTAGAATTATGGTCCAACAGATTCTAAAAATGAGTCGCGAAAGAAAATCAGCTGTTAAATGAAATATCGACTAAATATATAAGAATTTGTCTCTGTTTTTTTTTTATAAATTTTGACTTGTGAAAATATGACTAACATTGAAATAGATTGACAAATTTGTAATTTAAATAAAGATCAATAATAACGTTTGTCCCGCTTTTTAACACGTTAATATTTGGATCCCGCAAATGGGCTTAAAATTATGGCAAGTCTAGTTGGCACCTTTCTAAAAAAATAATGAAATGCAACTTCTTTTATATGTGATTAATTAAAGAAATGAGAAAAAAACCGTAACCAATTCCGAAGTTCATTAAATACAATGTTTATTTGGAATATTTCGACCTAAAAATATTAATCCGTTAATTTTAGTTAAACTATTTTCCCTTATTTAAGAAAAAAAAATATATTAGAGAAAATGATTTGAACAATATGCTTCTTTAAAAAAAATTAAATAATTCCCTGATTGATTTCTTTATTAAAATCAATATATTTATATAAGAAAGATGGAATTAATTAATTAAAGATTATCTAAAATGTTTTTCATCTCATTCTTTCAATTTTAGAAATAGAAGGCTGTTATTAATTTTAATTTTTGAGAATAGAAATAAATAATATTTAGTATATTATTAAATTTAAAAAGGTATAGTATGATAAATATTTTGATATTTATTCTAAATAAAAATAATAATATACACTGTATGTTATACATAATATAATATTGCATGTATTAATTACGTAATTGTAGTAATATCATATGTGATTTATTTTCCGATTTTCCGTCGACAGTTGGCCAAATTTATTTTTTCTTATAAGTGTGCATCTAGGTCTGACTGGAAATTTTCTTGCGAAGCGAGGCAAGAATTCAAATAATTTGGGTACAACGGGAAATGACGACTCGGATTGGAAATTACCGTATAAGGCTGTTGACAGATGGGATAATAAGAATTGTAATTATAGGTCCCTATAGCAGCTGGATTAGAAGAATTATCCGCATATAATGAGGAAGAATGATTGGGTATAAGATTGTTATAATCCCTATATCCGGGCTGTTGTTGATTTAGCATCATGGGATACAGTTCTTCTTGCAGATTCATAACATCATTAGGAATGAGGTGAATATGGTGATGACTTGAAAAAGGAGGAGGATTGTAACATTTCATTTTCTTCAGTAATTTCCCTAAATGATGGGCTGAGCCTTTGTTATGAATGATATTGTTGTTATTATTATTATTCGTAATATTATTAATATTGTTACTATACGAATTATTTAAGGCCTGTGCTTTGATGACGGGAGAATAACTGGCAGAGGAGTTGAGAAAATTATTTGGGTAGAAGGGAGCCCTAGATGGGACATGACTGTTCCAATTTTGATTTAGCATTTTTATGTAAAGCGAATTATTTTCTTCGCAATCATAAGTAGGGTGATTCGCGTCGTTTTCTATCATCGCATCATTCTGACTTTTGTCCATCCTTCCGCATTCGTATAAGTCTGTTGACATTTTAGATATCAAGGGGATATTATTTAATGGAAGGCATTTCGTTGAAACCCTTTTGCTAATCTTGGTAAATCCGCCTTTCATATGTTTAATGGATGAATCTTTTCTCTTACCCCTATTTTCCTTCGAAGCCGATTTTGATTTGGTAATGTTATCTTTGTTTTCTGTAAAATTATCGCAAATTTTGAGAATTTCATTTTTAATGTTGTTGAGCTTGCAAGAGGAAGTTGATATAGGTGAATCTCTTTTATTGTTAGATCTTTGTTCCTCTGTAGTAGCTGTATTGTTAATTTCGTTGTTTAATAAGGAAATTTGGTGGTTGTGTTGGTGACTCGTTGTGTATTTAACTTCTTCGTCATAGGCGAGATTATCGTTCACAATTAAACTATTATTGGTGGTAGCATCGCGATTAGTAAACAATGGTGGTAGAGATTTTGTCAAGAGAGGTAGGTGAGCTATACCGAAAGCACTCAGGTCTTCGTAATTACCATTCTCAGACATTTTGGAGCAGAAATAAAATCTTTCTTTCTTCCTCCATTTGGCTCTGCGATTTTTAAACCATACCTATTTTAATTAACAAAGAAAAATTGTTTATAATTTGCCCAATGTTTGCTTTTTTATGAAAGGCAAAGGTTTGGGTATCTATTAGTCAAATCTCAACACTTTTAGCTAAAATATTGAGTTAGCCGTTTTTAAAAATCGACTCAAATCGAGCTGTTTAACAACAATAGCCTAAAATTTAAATATTGAGCAATAACTTTGATAATTTATAACGATTGTCTATTTTGGGCAAAATAGGTTAAGAAAATTAATATGAAATATTTCCTAATTTCTGATATTTTTTAAATTCATATAATTGGCGAAATGGAAGAATATGAAGGATATATGAGATCTATATTTTCTCGAACCATGGGTCGGGCCTAAATTTTGTAGATAATGCTACCGGCAACCCCGAGCCTATCTTTAAGAACTTTCAGAGTCGGGTTAACGAGACCACCTTAAAGGGCTCTAACAATATATTATAATATATTTATTTTCGATCCTAAAAATAGTGAACTTACGCTTTATAATCGGTTAATATGGATAAAAAAACAATCAAAATATATTTTTATATAAAATATTTGAATATTATACTCTTAACTAAGGACTAAGTCTACCTAACCCAAATGACCAAATTCCAAAAGTGTATAAAAAAATTAGTAAAATTCTTTTTTAAAAGTTAAATATTTAAAAACTATTAAGATAAAACCACTCTAAGAAAGGACATCTTTTGTTTCATTCATTTTTGAGATAAGATATTTTCTATATTGGTTTGAAACCATTCAAACTTTTCGCATATAATATTTTAGTTAACATTCTCTTTAATTTTTTTTTGAAGACTTATAGAAATATTTTTTAGTCCTCTACTGAACTGAATATTTTTTTGAGGCGAGAGTCCTTTATTAAGATTAAACCTAAAAATTGAGTTATTAAAAAAAAAAAGGAATATAGATAGATAGTTTTTTTTCTTCCAATTTCAGGAAATTTTTGCTTCCGTTTTTATTTTCGGGCCCTATTGATTGGGTGATTTATGCCCGGTAGGCATATTACACATAATAGCTTATAAAATTTTAATTGTTAACTAAATATAGTCTCTTTTTTCTATATTCAAGTAATATAAGATAATCTATAAACTTCCTATATAATATAATCATAACATCTCTAACTATTTTGATAATTATTAACGACTATACAAAAAATATATAGCTATATATATATAAAGTATTTATATAGAAAATTTTTTATATAACAATATATATTAACTAACTAATAATAGTTTTACACTTCAGTGGACATATTAAATTGAAATGTTCCTATTTTTTCAGATTTGATATATATAATATAAAAAAAATTTATATTATATCATTATATGTTATGTATTATATTTATTCTGTAATAAAACAAATTTATTCATTTATAATTCATCTTTTATATTATCTAATTTGTATTATAGATTACATAATTTTCGGTCCTTAAATATAAATGATTATTATGTATAGTTTAATTAACTTTTTTTTTATTTGACTGTATTTTTTTCAAAAATTAAACGGTAAATAAAAATATATTTGAAATTAAAGTCAGAGTATAAATTTTTATATTTATTATAACATAAAATATTTTTTTTTAAAAAAACACTAAATAATACTTTTAATATTTATGACTTTATAATTCACTCCTCCATTTTGAATGAAATAATTTATTGGTTTTTTTTTAAAAAAAAACACTCAAAAATTTAAGGGAAATTATTTTATGAAAATAGAGGAGACCGGGGTCGGGTGGCAAGCGGAGTAAGATGAAAAACGCAATATAACTTTTACTTCTAAGAACTAGATATAATGTTGTTATAAAACCCTTGATTTAGATTACGACTGAATCAAGAATTTAGCCAAGTAAATATTGTCTAAGTCTGGGATTTTTTCAAAAAGAATTTAAATATTTCTGCTATCCTTTAGCAAAATCTTGAGGCGCAGATAATATTTTTTTGCTAAAATATTAGTCGGCCATACCTTTCTTAGACATGTGTCAAAAAGTAGCTTTTAATGCGTGTTATCTGTCTTACATTTTAGCAATGCGAGTTTTAGCGGTTACAGGTAAAAATAATTTTCTTTGTTTCACTGAAAAAATGGTTTCGGTTTTCATGCCCTGTTACTAAAAATAATTATCAAATTTTACAATTTCAAATATAATATTCTATTAACATTATTTCCAGTCTTCTAATGTATGAAACAGCTGTTAAACCATATAAAGTCCTCCTTACTGCCTTTGGCACAACAGGTGAAGGGGCTAAAAAGAGGCTGAGATACTAACTTCGCCCAGACATGTAACCAATGGACCCTACACACCTCCCACCCCCTCTCCCCCCAAAATGTGTACAATATATCATTATAAGGAAGAATTTGAAAGATAAATTAGTATTTTTAAAAAACGGTTATAATTCAAAATTATTTTAAAAAGGATTTTAATTTAAAAAAAAGTGAAAACCCAAAATTAATTTTATAAAAATCTAATAAAGCCAATGACCTACAATACCTAAAGATCTCTAATAAAATTTATGAGGGAAAAAATTTATCCAATAGTGCTCTCACCCTTAGCAAAATTCTAGATAAAACAAAGGATTAAAAATAAAAAATAGAAAAGCTAAGATATCTTAGTTTCAAGAAAAGTAAAAAGGAGAATTTTCGGAATAAATTAAAGTAAATCGTGTTCTTTTATATACTGCGCATTATGTTTTTCATGGTTTTAACTTATTTTTACAATTTTACTCCATATGCTTTGTCATCGGTCATGGATTTATATTTTTATATTGAAAATTTCGAGCCAGGCAGGGCTCTGGCTCAATATGGAAATAGAAAATTCAGACTTAAGCCGAAAACATTAAATTTACAATGCTCTATTACAAAGCTTGGATTTTGTTTTGAAAACTAAAGTTTATGCTATCATATAATACTATTAATAAAATTTATAGAAAATTTTTATTTTATTTTCAGCACGTTTTACAAAATTTAATATAAGAAACGAAGATTACCTTTCAATCGAAAACATATTTAAGCTATATAAACAAGTTTTCGACAGACGGTGTTAAGAAAAGAGCCATCGAGATATTCTTGTTTTTTGTTTTAAACCTTGCTCAACAACAATATGAACTCAGGAACTGACTGGGAAGCAGACCCCGCGGGAAATGTTTAACGTAGACCCCAAACTCCCCTTTGCGGGCCTGCGTTCGTTTCTGCAAATGTTTCTATTAAATATCTCAATACGAATTCGCATCTACACATTCAAAAGATTGATCCGTTTATAGTTTATTATAAATATTCACATATAGAAATATGTGAATATTTATGGGTATGGGAAACCGGGATAGGTAGGGATACTTCAGTTCTTTTATATAAATTCATGAGTTTATTTAGGGCTAAAATTAAAAAAATAGTTAAAACAGTTTTAAAATATCTCCAACTAAATGTTGATGAAGAATAATTTTTTTATATATTCCTTCAGAAGCTGTTAAAAGGAATATTTTAATATAAAATTGCCTCTTTACCAGAAAAAATCGCATCGAAAAAAAAACTCAGCATCTGTGGTTTCAATACTAAATACTAAGTGCCTTAAATATGGGCCGGGTCTGACGCCTATATAATTTTTTACTGCGGACCTTGGCTGAACCTGATCAAAATATTCTGACCCATTAAATGATTGTTACAAATACAAATGCAACTAAATCCTTCCCTTTTCTACCGTATTTTTATATAGGAAGTTAATACAAATATTGTTATGAATGAAACAAATAGGAATGGATGCCTGGGGTTCTTGAAAATATTTTATTTCGCTGGAGTTCGTTGTCAGGCTTTAAGGAGCATAACTTAGTTTCCCATCCCTTTAAAAAAATGAGTGTTTTATAACTCTTCTCCTTAAAAAAATAAATGCCCATTATTTACACAATAGCATCGAGATAAAATTTTCCTGACAATCGTTGTATTTTAAAAAAGGCCAAATAGGGGAGACCAGGGACAGATGGCAAATGGAGTGAGAAGGAAAACGCCCATAAAATTTTATTTCTAATTGCTTGAAATCTAACAATTTATCAAAATATGTCTTTATATACCTGTTATATGGTAACTTTTTTTAAATGAAGGGGGAAGGGGCTGATTAAAAATCGATTTTGATCCATCCTTTTGCCACATTATCCTTAAAAAAAAATAAGGCCACTTCCAAACATGATATTTTTTCAAAACGAGGCACGTTTTTCGCAATACTTTTTACTTACAAACAAGCAAAAATTAATATTATTAGCTGATTTTTATAACAAGTTTTTGCTTTAATCTAAAATGAATAGTTCTATATCATATAAAATTTATAACACATTTTAAGGTACAACCTATCGATAAAATCTGTTTCTAACTATATAAAAACCGAGAAAACTATTTAATACTGCATCCGAGGATGCTCGGTAAGAACGGCAATTTTAACTGATTAAAACATATTAGGTTTCATAACATTCTGCACAATAAACTGACATAAGTAAAGAATTCGTTAAACTAATTGTCATCAAATAAATAATAAAATATTTTTCAATATATTAAAAATTAATTCGAATAGATATGATTAATTATTATTTATAATAAAATAATAATTTTACAATATTTAAAATTAAGAATTTCATCAAATAAACTTCCAACTGTATTATTATTTATCATAAAATATTTAATATTATAAAAATATCAAATAGACTACCAATAATAGTTCCCATTATATAATGCCATTATTGATTAGATGATTATTTTGTTTACCTATTAGTTATATTCAATAAAATTCTAAATTAATATTGCACATAGTTTGAATTTAATTTCACCCTGTATGCCTTGCCATCTCACCCGGGCATTGGACATGATGCCCAAAAATGGCTTTCACTATATCAACGCCAACACTATATAAGGTAAGAAGTTCCTATTTTTTTTGTTTTATAGCCTAGCTCTCATATTATATAATTATTAAATGAAATACAAGGGGTGGGATACATTTTCTTTCGCAGAAGAGAAAATCCTTGTTTTCCGCCCCCGGTCTCCATAAAACTATATATTTTTAAAATATTTTTAAAACAAAGGTTTTCTAACTCGAACTCTAGGTTCCGATAAATGAATCCAATTAGCTATATCTTCCCTAGAGGACATATCCGGATATCTATTTTTATTGAAAGTGGACTCCAATTCAGCCAGTTGATGGCTAGTAAAATGGGTTCTCTGCCTTCTTTGCTTTTTCTTATTTTTCTTATTGGAACCTTCTATCAAATCTAAGCTCTCTTCAGAATCTTTCTTGTTACCGAGTAAAGAAGTCTATAAAAGATAAAAAAAAAATTAATTAATTTATACCTTTAAAAAATAATCACTAAAAATGTGTGAAAAATGTTTTAAAAAAATGTGTAAACATAATTAAAAATATATCACATAAACATTTCAACGATATTTATAAAACCAAATCTTTAACTAGTATAGATTTTACAATTACTACCCATTTAAGACTAAATTAGAACTGACCATTTAAAAAAAATCTCACCATAAAATCATAAATTATCATGTAAACTAGTTTTGTTAAACGTCTCGAGCCGATTTTTATAAACGGCGATGTCAATATTTTATTAGGAAAAATATTATGCAAGCCTTGAGATTTTGTTCATAAGTGGCACAAAGGTTTGAACATCTATGAACGAAATCTTGAGGCTTAGACAATATTTTTCTGGCTAAAATATTGAGTTAGCCGTTTTTCCTTAAATCGAGCCGTTTAACAAAACGAATGTAAATTACCCATTTCTTCTATATACTAACATTAATAGTGGAAGGGTGATTACCAAAACAAATAATATTATTTTGATTTTTATACAATATAATATAATGTATAATTTGTAAAATATACGTTGTATTTCTTGTACCCAGCAAGTTTTGAATTAGAGGAAGTTTTGCAAAATTGGCGAATTTTTTGAATATTCGGGATTGTATCTGGTTGCGGTAAATTGGGTTTTGTGCATAATTCATCTGTGAAAAAAATTAATGGTATTATTTCGAAAATAATATATTTTGGAAATCGTTGAAGCTTTAGAAATTTTCCTTGAGTTTTCAGAAGAATTTTAAAATATTATCAAAGCATTATTATAATATACAAGTTCCCTTTTTTTAAATAAAACATTTATTTTAGGTTTGCAAGGCTACTCTCCTGGGTAATGTAATTTCAAAAGAAGAATTTTACAAAATTCTATGGCAAAATTTGACTGAAATTTATGAAGTAGGTATATATATTATATATTCTACACATGCTAAATGCACCTCTAAAAATATGCGATTTTTTCAAATTTAAAAATCCTATTCAATAGTTAAAATTGAGAAATCGCGAATCCTCATGATTCCTGATTAGTCTTTATTCCAGAAAAACTTACGACAATATATATATCTATAACTAAATTCTTTTGAAATATTGAACTGATCTTATATTCATATTTTTTTAATGTTAACATTTAAAAATATGGAAAAAATATTTTCTCCCGATTTAAAGTTGATTTACATATAGGAGAAACTGGAGCATATAAGACCAGGGAGCACATGAGTTGAATTTTTATGAGAAACAAGGTATGAAATTTAATCCTATAATAGATACTTATGATTTATATATACAACTAAAAAATATATTTGTTCTCATGGGACACAACTGCATCAAGAAGAAGCCTCGGGCTATTATTATTGTATCAAAAATGACAAGCTTTAGATAGTATATGTAATTTAAAAATATTTTACATTAATTTCCAGGTACTATAAAAGCTATATGCACATTAAAAAGACTCCTAAGATAAATTCTTTAAGAATAATTAAAAATCATAAAGAAGGCACAAATAGAGATATGGATATACCAATCGAAAATAAAAATAAGCATTAACCAGTTTTTAAGGATGAAGAAAAAAAAATTATTTGACAATTTATAAGGCATATTTCACATTAATTTATAAGCTAAGAATTTTTAATAAAATTAATTTAACCACTATCACCAGAGAATCAATACGAAAAGGATTTAATACTTATGGCTCATGAAAAATATAACGACCCAAAACTTGGCTTTCAAATTATATACATCAAAATTTAAAAATAAAAAACATCGTATTATATTATAATAATTTTGAATATTCATAATTGTTTGCATTTACAAATTTTCAAAATATTTTTGTTTGACTATTCGTCTTTTCCCCAAAAAAATCCTATAACTGTTAAGCCCCCCCCCCTCCATTTAAAATTTATGGCGATGGGCCTGAATGTGTGTGAAATATATTACATAAATACAACTTGAATCCAATATAATGTAATATATAAACAGCTTAGATTCATTTATTTATAAATAGTAATGGATTTTATGCGTTAATTCGAAAATTTTCCTCAATTTTAAAAACATAAGCTTATAAAATTAAATTTTATAAAAATGTATTATAACTAGATCCTTTTATAAAAGAACCTTTTATAAAAATTGACTTTATGAAAAATATATCCAGGATAAGGATGGATCTAGATATAAAACAACGATATCTGATTTGTAGTAGGATTGAATCAAAGTAAGCGGAAAAATAGGAGATATTTACTCAATTACTATATAAAAAATTTTTAAGAATGTTTAGATCTTAGAAAACAATGTGAAATGGATAAAAAGCCGTATAAAATTTTCTAAACAAGGATAAAAATGCAAAAAATAATAAATTTTGAATGAAGATTATTGTATCATTTGTAAAAAACATCAAATTTAAAAATGATTAGGCAGAATATGTAAAGGATAGACCCATTTAAGCGTAAAAAATCTTTATAAATAACAAACTTATAACCTTTTATATATGGCCCCAGAGTTCTCGATGTTTCTTAAGCAAAAACTTAACCTGCCAATCATAAAATTATAAGTTCGAAAATGATTGGCGTCAATATTAATAGATACAAAATAAAAGTTTGGTAGGAAATCTAATTACATCGAAAATCTCGCCTAATCTTGCAATCACAGATAGCACGAAAATTTTAGAAGCCAATTAATTGTAATAATTAAATGGCGTCTGAAATGGAGATCCGGATTGTCTTTAAGAACCGCTTTGAAAAAAGATTCCGTTTTTGAAAATGGACTAAGTCTTATATGTTATAATCTTTCATCTTTCTTAAATATTTTTATGTTAAACAAAAAAAAAGTTTTCTATAATCTTTGGTGCTTAAAAAATAATTTTTAGTTAGTGGTCCTATGTATCGCAAGTATTGGTCTTAGATACCCCTATTTGAATCAATGTACCCCAGAGTTTTAATTTTACTTGAAAAATGAAAATATTTATCTTTAGATATACCGTTTGGAGGTAGCTGTCAATTTTTTCGTTGATTTATATATATTTTATAAAAGTTTTCACAAAATCTATAATATAAATTCTATTTGTAATAATAGACTCAAAACATTCATGTATATAAATAAGGCGATAAGGCCGTTAGAAAATAAAATTTCAAGTCCACTAACTAAATAATTTTTTGTTTAATTATATACCTGTAAAAGAAGGCATAAATGTGGGATGTTCAAAATTAGGCCCTATGTTGCTATTAAAATAAGGTAGATACGATGATAACGATATTGGTATCGGTGAGGAAGATATGGTAATTAAGGATGTCACAGAATTTTTTGTTGGAGAAAGTCGGGGAGAGGAGTAAGGAATTTTGAGAGATGATTCATAACGAGGAATGAAATTAGGGTAAGGAGGACCACCGCAACCTTTAAAATAGGTTGCGACGCCCTCATCCATATGATTAATACCGCCGTGGATTACCGGATCCATCAGTCTTGGGGGAAACGTGGACATATAATTGCTACAGTATTTGGAAGAAGAATGGGAGGGAGGAAGGGAAGGAGGAAGGTTGTATCCACCCATATGATAGCTAGAGTTGAATGTTTGAGGATATTGGCAATAATTGCTAAGGGATGGGTAACATGATGATGAACCTTTAAAAATTGACTCATTGTTGTAATAATGGTTGGGTGGTAACAACCCTCTGCTATAGCCGGGGGTCATAAAATTAGTACTGTTGAAATGATCGCTTAGTGAATGATGAATTGATTTAGGATCATTATCATTGTTGTGTAAGTTCAGGAAAGAATGGTGATGGGCGAACGTGCTGTTCGAAGCTGAAAATTGATGATCACTATATATGTCATTACAATGAAGGGAATACTTGTCAAATATTTGGGGGTGGTGAAGACTATTGTAAGAGGAAGCTATATCTTGCTGCTGCGTTTTGAAATATAACGAGGAGCCATGATCTATCATTGTTGAGTCAGTAGGAGTGGAATAATAACAATTAGGTAAATTTTTGACCTTGATCCTTTCGCAGCAAACATATTTATTAGAATTCATCTTCTTGGGTTCTAAATCTCCTTCTGTCTTGCTGTGAAACGCGCTAGAATATGTCATCATAACGTTAGACCTGCAACGATTGTTGAGTTTCGGATCTCCCGGGGAATAATTATTAGATATAGTTTCATTTACCTTTTCTGTATAATACTCTATGACTCTATTCTGCCATTTATTCTGAGATCCACCTTCCACAATATAGTTTTCGTCGCAACGATCCCTAAACTTATTACACAAGATATCCGTGTTCCGGCTAACCTTGATAAGGTCTTCCACTCCGTAAGCCATGAAATCACAATTAAACGGGGGCAGCTCTGGTAAGATACCTCTCCCTTGATTAAAATTAGAATTGTACATCGAAATTCTGAGGTCATTGTTATTGTTAGGACTTCCGTGTTCCTTGATTACGATATCTAAATAATTGTTGTTCTTTATTCTATCTTTTCTCTTGCTATTTATACTATTTATATTACCGATTATTGTATCATTATTTATATTTTCGTTCAAGGAATTACTGAAATTAATAATATTATCATTATTAGCATTCGTGGTGGCATTAACTGGATTACCGTTGTTCATTTATCCTTTTTATATTATTATTTTTCTTCTTTTCATAACGTAATAAGCATAGTGTATTAGTAGGATATAAATAATGATGCTTAATTCCTCTCGATCCTTTCTATCTTAAAAAAAATAATTAAATATTAATAATATATTTTATTTAATAAAAAAAATAAAGCAAACACACAATGGAGACAGTGACTTATTATAAATCTTTTTCTTTTTCATCTCTCTTCTACTATATTTATTTTAAACAGAGAATTTGGTGGATCTCTAATCTAATACAAGAATAGAAGTTTTTTTTTAGTAAATATTTTAGAAAAGTTTCTAATTGAAGATTAAAAATAAATTATGAAAAATATTTTATGAAAAGAAATTGGTTTTTTAAAATTTAATTATATACCCATAAAATCTCGTAATATTAAAATGAAACAATTAATTTAAATTACGCATTTTTTTGTATAGCATAGCATCTTTTTATAAATAAATGTATATATAATAAGTAATGTTGTTAAATACCCTATTTTGTCGATTTTAAAAAAATGTTCCGATTAAGATCTTAGCCAAACCAATAATCTAGGCCTCGAGATTTGGCATAGTGTCATATCTTTTTTCCACCACTATTAATATGGTATATTGACTTCAACATAGATGGATATTTTTAGTAGGTACATTATAAATAATCTTAAACGAAGAGCCAAAGCCGTTCAAGACCGTAATAAAATTGGTATTGAGTGACTATGGATGTTGAGTTAGAGTGTCACCCCCTCTCCCTACTCCCCACCGTGTTTTAGAGTCCTGAAATAAGGATATAATATTTAGAGCAGCTTTTGTGAATATGTATAACAATATACATGGAGTAAGCAGGAGTTTAGGTTTGATTTAGCCCTCCTGGAAAATTATATCTTAATAAGTTATTTCACAAGGAAAGTAAAATTTCCCAATTTTTTTTTTATTTAATTGAATTTAAAAGGTATTAAAATATTATTTAAGTCAAAATCCTTTTTTAAAAAAAAAATGAAGATGTAATATGCTTTTTATATTAAGCTTATATAATCTAATAGATCAAAATAAA